GCGGGAATCTGGATTTTGTGCCAGTGCGTGGATGAATACTGGGCCCAGACTTCCCCTCTGACCACCCTCTATCTGAGCTGGGACCCCAGGAGGATTGGAGTTTTGCTGGACTACGAAGTGGGGCGGGTGTCTTTCTTCGACGCGGACAACGAGAAACCCATCTTCACTTTCCCGCCGGCCTCCTTCGGCGGGGAGAGAGTCCACCCTTGGTTCCATCTCTGTGGGGAAGACATGCAGCTCCAACTGTGTCCCTGAGGTGCAGGGCGGGACAGCTCCCATCTGAAGTGCATTTCTGGCCTGCCAAAGCAACCTCAAGATGGGAGCGATCTGACTAGATGCGAGAATGACTCTGACCGGCCTATTGGTCCCTGTTCTCTATGATCCCAGAGGGCTGAACGTTTCTGCAGAGAATGAGACGGGGGTGGGGGTTGAAGTATGATTTAGTATATCACAAAAGGAGCTCTTGTCTGTTGCACTGGGTAAAAATCGACAGAAATAAACTCTTTTATAAACTGGGGTGGTGCTCTCTTTTCCCTGCCATGCCTACTGGGTTCAAGGCAGGCTATGTGAGAAAGATTATTCATTAATAGTACAGTAAAAGCTGTGTTATCCGGCACTTTATGAACCAGAAAGCTCTATTAACTGGCATTTCTGATCTCTCCCAATACAAATCTTCAATCTAGTAACCGGGACTAGTATACTGCCCCGGAGGTTATGCAATTGCACATTCTGCACTCTGCTTTTATGCAAAAGAGGCAGAAGACAAGTAAACAAACTAATATCAGGGATTTATTCAAAAAAGCAGCTTCCAGGGTGTGTTATAGGGTCAGTATAGATTCAGCCCAATCTCTTACACCTTCTACATCTACTGTACAATAATTGGTATTGATAATGCTGACCCGGAGGCACTGCAAGATCCTGAAGTGCCTTCTGAATCATCAAAGAAAGATTAAATGATGTTCAGTATAGCTTTAGTGTTCTGGGTGTACACCATGCGCTGCCCACAGTGACATGCAGTGTCATAAGATAACCTACTATATAGAAAACTCCCTGTATACACCTAAGTGCTTCAAGAAACCAACCAATCTGCCATGCAATACTACGACTGAGTACTGCTGAGTACCAGTATTGCTGAGTACCTGTCTACTATTTTATGCTGTATTCACTTTATTGTATTCTTATTCTTTGAAAATTGGTATTCCAGTGGTAAGTATAACACTTAGTTAATTGGAATTTTTGACTAACTGGCACCTCCATTCCCCCCAACATGCCAGATAACAAAGCTTTTACTGTATAAATATTTATTTATTCATATTATCATTGTAGCTAGGGACCTCAGTCACAGCTTGTGCTAGACAGTGTGCAAACAGAACACAAAGACAGTGCCTGCCCTCAATCCCTGTGTAGCGAGGTTGAGACTCACCGGGTGTGGCGCCTCCTGCTGGTCATCTAGGAATTATCTTTTTTCCAGCCTATGGAGTGCCCTCTGCAGACCAGTGTCTTGCCTGCTGCTGGTCCCGTGTCCCTCCCAAACCCCAGTGCCCCTTACCCTTGGGTTTCTGCCCCCAGCAGTACCCCAAAATCTGACTCTCCCCTCCCAGGGAAACCCCCAACCACTAAACCCATCTTGCCTGAGTGGCTACTGCCAGTCATCATCTAGCCCCCACTCACTGGGGCAGACCAGTCTGTAATGGCCGCTCATCACTGGCAAGGGGGTAGGATCAGCTGCCTCTGCCTATCCCCGGGCTGCCTCTCTGCAGCCCCAATACCTTTTGTAGGGCCTTCACCAAGGCCTGCAGCCTGGGGGTTCACCAGGCTGGAGCTCCCCAGCTCCCTTTGCCCTTCCCCAGCACTGCTCCACTTCAGGTACCTCACTCTCAGACAGCTACCCCTTCCCACTCCAGGGCTAGAGTGAGACTCCTTCAGCTTCTGGCCCACAGCCCTCTTAGCGGCCAGTTGGGCCCCAATTAAGCTGGCCACAGCTGTGGCTGCTTCCTCAATTAGCCTAGCTTTTCACAGCCCCAGCCCTCTCCAGGGCTGCTTTTAACCCTTGTTTTCCAGGAGTGGGCAGTTGCCCCACTACACCCTGCTTTCCCCTGATGTCTGCTGGAGCCAAATTTTCAGGCCTGGGTCCATCAAGTGCCCCGACACTGTGGTGACAGGGGGCCACCCACGTACCTAGGTGGAGAGGGGCTTGGAAGTGCCTGTGTGTGCAGCTATATCATCACAGCTGTTAGTGGGGATCAAAAGTGAGAACTTCAGACCCCGAATCACCCACCCATTCCCCTTGCATTAAAGCAGTAAGGCTTTATCCCCGACAGCAGGGGGAAGTAACAGGTATTAGAATTATTTCTATCCTTTCTTGCTTTCCCATGAAACAAGGCCCATCAATTTACAACACAGCTTGAGAGGAAAATATGAAGCTCCGTTCCCCTCTTATGTTAATATAAATCAGGAACACAGCAGAACCTCGGAGTTACAAACGCCTCAATGGAGGTTGTTCGTCACTCTGAAACATTCGTAACTGAACAAAACATTATGGTGGTTCTTTCAAAAGTTAACAACTGAACATTGACTTAATGCAGCTTTGAAACTACTGTGCAAAAGAAAAATGCTGCTTTCCCTTTATTTTTTTAGTAGTTAACGTTTAACACAATACTGTCCTGTATTTGTACCATACTGTGTCTACTGCTGCCTGATTGCGCACTTCCTGTTCCCAATGAGGTGTGTGAATGACTGGTCAGTTCATAACTATGGTGTTCATAACCCTGAGGTTCTACAGTAACTCCACTGGTGTCATGGGGGATCAGTCTCTGCTCTCACTTTTACCCATACCCATTTAGCAGAGCTGGAAACTAATCCGCATGTGGTCATCTTCTCGGTTGGTGCAAGTCAGCAGAGCACCATGGAAGACTCCCCCTTTTTGGTAAAGCCTTTTACACCTTCACCAAGTTAAATAAAACTTAACAATGCTGTTCAGTAAGTGGAATTTCTTTCCCACTAAACATGCTGATATGTGATGTTAGCTTTTAATGGAGGGTGGAAACCCTCAAAACGTAGAAACATTACATAGAAGGAAAAGTTCTAAAAACATTGGATCTGGAAATGTTTTGTTTCGCTGGACATGAAATGATTTGTTTCACGACGTTGACATGTCAAAATATCAGTCCGAAGCCCAATGTTCTGTTTAATTTTTTTTTTCACGAAATCAGAACATTTCAGCAAAACTGACCTGTTGCCATAAAATATTTTGGCATTGAAACCAGGTATTTTAACTGGACAAATGTTCGGGCAAAATATTTCAACCAGCTCCTATGTGATAACAACAAAAAACAAAATGAAATGAGAATAATTATGCCAAAGGGAAGAGAAAGAAGCCCTTACAGGCAAGAAAGGAAGACTCATAAAAGAGCCCATGATGTCCACTATCAATCCACAAGCATCCAGGAGCCCCAAACTCTTCCTGCTTTAGCTGTGTCTCTTTGACCTCTTCATCACACACCCAAACCTTCAAGGGGAAGGGCACGGGGAAATAAAGTTCTTATACTAACCAAATAGTTACAGTGACACTGAATTACCCTAACATATGCATTCTCGTTTATGAGTGCTCTCTGTTTTCCAGTGCTGGATAAATCACTGCTGGGGCCATTTTCAACCCCCCCCTAGGGAAAATCCTCCCAGCAGCTGTGATGCTGCATCATGATCTCCTCTGTGAGTTCTTAATTTCTGTCTACACAGTGTTTGCGCTGCTTTAACAATATGGGTTTGAAACTGGTATAGTTAAAGCAGTACACCTCCACCTTAGTATGGATGCTGTTATACCAGTATAAAGATGCCTATACTAGCATAGTTTAGTCCTGTAAATTTAGGGAATAAGCTCTGTTGATATAAGCACCTTTATCCTGATATAACTAAGTGTTGTACCGAGTTTACTATAAGAGAATGACAAAGGAAAGAGAGAGACAAGGCGGGTGAGGTAATATCTTTTAATAGACCAAGTTCTGTTGGTGAGAGAGACAAGCTTTCAAGCTTACCAGGCGGGAGCCAAGCCCTGCAGAAGAGCTCTGTGTGGATCAAGAGCTTCTCTCTCTCGCCAACAGAAGTTGGTCCAATCAAAGGTATTAACTCACCCATCTCCTCTCTCTGATATCCCCAACGCGGCTACAACAACATAAAGGAAACCGAGACAGATGCACAAAGAGAAACAAAGTCAGACAGTGAAAGAGACAAACAAGGACAGGCAGAGAGAGAGAGAGACACGGGTGGATTGGATGTTCTTGTGGTCTATATTTAAATACAAGGAGACCAGCCCAGCAATGCAGTTGCTCCACATCACAACCTTCATCTTCAGAGACTTCTTCAGCCTGCAATGAGCTTACCGAGAAAAACAAGCCTCCATCACAGCCCTAGCTGGGAATGTGACATTTCCTCAAGGCTCCGTGAAATCCAGAGATAGAGATAGATGTCCTTGGCACCAGGCTAGCTAAGTGATCAAAGGGACCATGCTTAAGGCTCTGTGTACCTTTCTTGAGCTGGGTATTAGTAGTCTGCGGGTGGAGGTTGGGTTCACATCCTGCTCTTAACACATTTCTTCCAGGCCCTTGGACTGGGTGTTTAAAATGAATTAACTAATGGTGAATTCACGGCAGGCAAAGAATTCCTCCCTTTGTTATCCTGCAGGGCTCACTTTGTTTCTTAAAGCTGGGATGCCTCCCTGCCCCTCCACAGCCTCTTCTCCAGCACATCACAATCATCAAGTAGTCCTCATGCCTCCCAGAAATTCATTTCCCATACTGCCCTGCAATGCAAACTACACTACCCATAACGCTCTGCCACGCATACTGCTTTCCCCATAATGCTCCACCACAAACACTACATTTCTGATCAGGCCCAGGCCCAGAGACTACAGCTCCCACAATGCCTTGCGATGCAAAACGCTGTTTCACGGCAAGGGAGACTACACTTCCCATAGTTCTCTGCCACACAGACTGCCCTTTGGAGTTTGCTCTGCAACAAAGAGTGCGTGTCTTTATGCCTTGCAGTGGAGACTGCATTTCCCACAGTGCATCTGTGATGGAAACACAAAAGGCAAGTGGGATGCAGGTTCTGCTACCCCCGGTGCATCAGAGAAGCATCTCTGGTTGGCTGGGGCTGCTCCCCAATTACCCCTGGGTGCTTGGGCACAGGGCCCTCTCGGTATGAATCCAGGTAAGTGCTGGGAAGGGGATTGATGGTAGGTGCAATGAACAGACGGCTCAGGAAAGGTAGCCAAGGAACCTTGATGTAGGTCAATACAGCAGTTGAGCATTTTGCAGCCTGACCCCTAAGAAGCTGCTTAGAGAGCCAGGTGCCCTGTTTGGGGCTGGACTGCAGGACCCCTGTCTTTGCCAGCTGAAATCATTCAAGAACCAGTCAGCCCCCCAAAATCATGAGACTGCTTTCAACTAATGAGGCTTTAAATAATAAACACATTATTATTCGTTATTATTATTAATTTTATTTATTTTATTATTATTACTACTAATTATTATTTTATTATAGTTTATTATTTGCCTTCTGGGTTTTGAGACTCAAGAACCAAGTTTTCAAGCTTTTCTTTTTAACCTTGAGGCTAGAAATGTACTTTTTTTAAAAGAAAAAAAATTAAAGCTGAGATACTTCCATAATCATCTGACTCTGGGCACTGGGGCTTTGAGGAAAACACTAAACATCATGAGGCTGGAGATAAAAATCAGACGTTGGCATCACGGCAACAGTCACCCAGCTCTTTAGCTGAGCCTAAGATTTTGCAAAGTGACTTAATGATTTTCAGTGTCCATCTTAATGGGGCCGGATTTTCAAAAAGTGCTGAGAACTTATCCTCTGAAAAATCAGGGCTTCTTTATGGTGTGTCAGGTTAATCATCCAAAATTCAGCAGCTGCTTTGGAAAATCTTGGCCCGGTAGCTCCATTGACGTTAGTGGGGCAGTGCCAATGTGCACCAGCTAAGGAGCTGGTTCTACAGGCTCCTAGTACAAATCCAGAAGTGGGAATGGGAAGGAGCAGAAGAGCCTAGAAAGTAGACCTTCCCCCACAGCTCACGCTTCTCAGCTGGCATTGTGAGAGCTCCTCTCCTGTTTCAACTTTAGCTATCGGTTCTCTACAGCCGCCCATCACCGTAGTGTCTGATCATCTTCCACTTAAAATTCTGTGCAGGAGCAAAGTCCCTAGTGGACTCCTTAGACTCTCTGGCACCTTCTGAGGGTCAGAACTATGCTTGTGGATAGGAGTGAAACTCATTTTAGGACATAAGAACGGCCATACTGGGACAGACCAAAGGTCCATCTACCTCAGTATCCTGCCTTCCGACAGTGGCCAGTGCCAGGTGCCCCAGAGGGAATGAACAGAACAGGGAATCATCAAGTGATCCATCCCTGTCCCCCATTCCCAGCTTCTGGCAAACAGAGGCTAGGGAAACCATCCCTGCCCATCCTGGCTAATAGCCATTTGATGGACCTATCCCCCATGAATTTACCTACTTCTTTTTTTAACCCTGTTATAATCTTGGCCTTCACAACATCCTCTGGCAAAGAGTTCCACAAGTTGATTGTGTGTTGTGTGAAGAAATACTTCCTTTTATTTCAAACCACTTTGTAGCATCCTGAGGACCACACCACTAAACCTGGCTAGAGAACAGAATTTTGGTTCTGTGAAATTTTGAGTGTTCAGGAAACGTTTTGGCCAAAATTGGGACAAAAAGTCAAAACCGTTAAAATTGTCGTGAAACTGAAGTCCTGCAATATTTTACTTCAGAAACATTGAAATGTTTCCGCAGTGAGAATGGTGTCTCCTAAATATGCTCCTCTGCTCCAGGGCAGGCTGCCTTGGAACAAGGACCCTCGAAACCTGCCTGATTTCGCTTGAAAGTTTCAATAGAATCGGGACATTCCTACAGAGAACATTTCAATTCTGTCAAAATATTTCCTGGTGAGAAAACGGTTCCATTGGAAAATTTTCTGCCAGCTCTAGCCGGCGACCCAGTACTTTGGGTATAATGATGATGAACCCCTAAATGTACCTTATATTTGGCATCTCTGTGGTAGGACTAGTTTGCTGGCATTGTTCTTAGAGGTGACCAGATAGCAAGTGTGAAAAATCAGGACAAGGTGAGGGGGTAATAGGCGTCTATATAAGACACAGTACCGAATATCGGGACTGTCCCTATAAAATTGGGACAGGTGGTCACCCTAATTGTTTTCCTTTTCCTGGAACCTTTCTGCTATTGATTTACTTAGTAATAGCGAGGTTAATTAATCATTGGAGCAATTTGCCAACAATCACGGTGGATTATCTGTCTCTGGCAATTTTTAAATCAAGATTGGATGCTTTTCTAAAAGATACGCTCTAGTACAAACAGAAATTATTCTGGGGAAGTTCCCTGGCCTGGGTTCTCTGGCCAGGAGGTCAGACTAGATGATCACAATGGTTTCTTATAGCCTTAGACTCTGCATTATTTGTATTACATAAGATCTAAAGGCAGCAGCTGAGATCTGGGTGCGCTACAAACACACAGTGAGACTCAGTCCCTGCCCCAAAGACCTTATAGTCTAAATAGACATGATAGGAAGGGGAGGGGGGAAGGACTATTATTCCCATTTCACAGATGAGAACTGAGGTTGGCATTTTCAAAGGTTACCTAAGGGAGTTATTAAAATGAATCAAGAAGTTGTTCCTGAAATACAATGAAAGTTGGATGTCTATTTCACATAGGCGCCTTTAAACATCCCAGCCTAAGTGAACTGTCCAAGGTCATACAGGGAAGTCTGTAGCAGAGCTGGGGAATGAAACCAGGTGTCCTGCGGCCCTGCCCCTTTCCTTAACCTCAAGACCATCAGCCTTCCTCGCACTGTGACCTTGTGTTGTCATTTACACGCGTGTAAAGTGTGTGAAATAAGCAACCCTTTCCAAAAAGATTTCAAGGTCAGAAGGATCATTCTGATTCTCTAGCCCAGTGGTTCCCAATCTTTTTGGGCTCAGGAGCCATTTGTCAATGTTTGTGGCCTGTCGCGACCCAGTAAATAGGCTGGGGGTGGAGGCTTGGGGGTGGGTTCAGTTGGATCCTGCACCCTAGGGGGGTTCGGTCCTGCTCGGCGCTCGCCCCACAGTGGCAGCTCCTGCAACTCCCATGCTGTGGGGCTGGTTGGGCTTGGCTCTCCACTCCGGGCACTGTGACTTCTGGGTTAGCAGCGCTGCCCCTGACTGGACCCAATCTGTGTGAGTGGAGCTGTGCCCTGGCTCATGGGGTTGCAGGGGAACTCACTCAGGTTTGGCCTACCCAGGCTCCCGTTGCCATGACAGCTGGGCCAAACCTGAGTGGCACTGAGAGGTTGCAGTGCCTGGAGCGGGGAGGCAAGCCCAGCAAGCCCCGTGGGACAGGAACCGCAGGAGCTGCCATGCGACCCTTTGAAAGATTCTGGAGCCTCGGTGCCAACTTCTAGTTTTCCCTGGGGGTGCTCCACCCCCACTTTGCCCTGAGGCCCTGCCCCCATTCCACCCCTTTCCCCGAAGGCCCCGCACTCGCCTCTTCCTGCCCCCTCTCTCCCAAGGTCCCCACCCCCACTCCACCCCCTCCGCCAAGGCCCCGCCCTCACTCCACCTCTTCCTGCCCTTGCTCTGCCCCCTCCCCTGAGGCCCTGCCCTTCTTCCGCCTCTTCCTGCCCCAGCTGCACCCCATTCCCGAGTCCTCACCTGCCCATCGCTGGCTGCTCTCCGCCCTCCTGCAAGCCTCCAAACAGCTGTTTTGCGGCTGCACCAGCACCCACTTTTTTTTTTCCGCAGGTGCTCCAGCCCCAGAGCACCCACAGCGTCGGTGCCTATGTTCTGGAGACCCAATTTTGGGTCCCGACCCACGGGTGGAGAAATGCAGATCTAGTCTGACCACCTGAATAGCACAGGCCGTTTAATTCCGCTCCATGATTCCTGTAAGGGGTCCAATAGCTTGAGGCTATGCCGAGATCCGGGCATTTTTAGGGATTCGGCGTCTGCTTCTGCACCTTATCGAGTTTCCCCAACCCCCGGTGCTGAGGTTTCCTTTCTTCCCAGCCCAGAGAACGACTCGCCTTCAGATTCTCTCTTTTTATCCCAGCAGCTGACGGGCTCGAGCATGAGAACGAAGAGACGAATCCCTGGCAGGGAGGTCCGGAGCATGCGGAACCACGCGGGGCGTTCTCGGGAAGATCCGAAGGGATTGCTTCTCAGGGGGGGAAAACCGGGGAGAGTCGGCGCAGGTCCGGGAGGCAGCACCCAGCAAAGCAAGAGGATAAACGTGCCTGCCATCGGCGAGCTCTCAAGGGACCCCAAGACAGCAACGCGGTCGCCGCCGAGAAACCCTATAAATGCAGCGTGTGCGGCAGGAGCTTCTCTCAGAGCTCCAACCTCCTGACTCACCAGAGGCTGCACACGGGCGAGAGACCCTATAAATGCACCAGCTGCGGGAAAAGCTTCAACACTAGCTCAGCCCTCATCGTGCACCGCCGGACCCACACCGGGGAGAAATCCTACCGCTGCCCCGACTGCGGGCGGAGCTTCAGCGAGGGCTCGGTGCTGATCAAGCACTGGCGGACCCACACGGGTGAGAAGCCCTACAAGTGCTCCCACTGCGGGAAAGGCTTCAGCCAGAGCTCCAACCTGCACGCCCACCAGCGGGTCCACACCGGGGAGCGGCCCTACCACTGCGCCGACTGTGGGAAACACTTCAGCACCAGCTCCAACCTCAGCGCCCACCAGCGGGTCCACACCGGGGAGCGACCCTACAAATGCCCCGAGTGCGGGCGGAGCTTCAGCCAGCAATCCAACCTGATCTCCCACCAGAGGACCCACCTTGAGGAGAAATCCCACCTATGCTCTGACTGCGGAGAAGGCTTCAGCACCAACGCCCAGCTCCTGACCCATCGGAGGAGCCACGCGGGCGACAGGCCTTATAAATGTCCTGACTGCGAGAAAAGCTTCCCCAGCCGCTCCGCCCTGATCACCCATCAGAGGACCCACACGGGAGAAAAACCCTACGAATGTCCCGATTGCCAGCGGGGCTTCACCCGGCGCTCGGACCTCAATAAGCACCGCCGGGTCCACACGGGGGAGAGACCCTTTAGGTGTGCCAGCTGTGGGAAAAGCTTCAGCCAGAGCTCCCACCTCATTACCCATAAGAGACTCCATGAGGAGGCAAAGCCCTATAAAAGTTGCGTGAGCACCACGCCGACAGTCCTCCAGGAACACGATTCCGGTAAAGATACCCAGAGCCGGAGAAGCGTCAGCCAGAGCTCGGCAGAGACCAGCGATGGGGAATCCCACCTAGCGGGGAAGCCCCATCAATGCCCCGACTGCGGGGAAAGGTTCGACACCAGCTCCGAGCTCAATGTGCATCGGCGAACGCACCCACAGGAGAAATCTCATCCACGTGCTAACGCCGTGCAAAGGTTGAGTGGCTCCAATCACAATGCACGAGAGGGAGCTGACCCAGAGGAGGAAGCTGATCTGGGGAAAAGATTGAAGGCGAGCCCAGCACCCCCCAATACACATCCCAAAACCCCGCTGGAGGAAGTGTTCTCTCCGTGCATTAGCACTGAGCAAAGCCCCCAACCCACCAGCTCCAACGTCAGTGCACGTCAGAGATCCCACTCAGAGGGGGAATCCTTTCCATGCACTGGTACGGAGCAGAGCCCAGTGCCAGCTGCCCGCCAGGCAGAGCCAAGGGGCCGCAAGGCGCGCTCTGATCCGAGCTCGGCCCCTCCGCACCGTCCAGCGGCAAAGCCCTTCAGGTGCTCCGAATGCGGGAAGAGCTTCAGCCAGAGCTCCAACCTGATCAAACACCAGCGGACCCACACGGGGGAGCGCCCCTACACCTGCGCCGTCTGCAAGCGGAATTTCAACACCAGCTCGACGTTGATTGTACACCGCCGGACCCACACTGGGGAAAAATCCTATCGGTGCCCCGACTGCGGGCGCAGCTTCCGGGACAGCTCCGTACTGATCAAACACCAGAGGATCCACACGGGAGAGAAACCCTACAAATGCTCCCACTGCGGGAAAGGCTTTGCCCAGAGCTCCAATCTTCACGCCCACCAGAGGACACACACCGGGGAGCGGCCCTACCACTGCCCCGACTGCGGGCGGGGCTTCAGCCAGCGCTCCAACCTCATCACCCACCAGAGGACCCACACGGAGGAGAAATCCTACCTCTGTCCCAACTGCGGGGTTGGCTTCGGTTCCCGCCCGGCCCTGGCAGCCCATCAGAGGGCCCACGCAGAGGGCAGGCCCCACCAATGCTCCGACTGCCAGAGGAGCTTCGCCCGGCGCTCAGACCTCGTTAAGCACTGGCGGACCCACACAGGAGAGAGACCCTACCTGTGCCCCCAGTGCGGGAGAAGTTTCAGCCAGAGCTCCCACCTGGTGGTCCATCAACGATCGCATCTGCCGGAGAAGCCTTACAAATGCACCGACTGTGGGAAAAGCTTCAGCACCAGTTCTCACCTCCTTGCCCACCAAGGGACCCACACAGCGTAGCCACCTGGCACTGGTGTGGTCCTAGAAATGTCAGGCTGGACTGGGCCTCGAGAGGACATCCAGTCCAGCCCCACCAGCGGAGGCAGGACCAAATACACCTAGCCCATCCCTGACAGGTGTTTGTCCAACCTGCTCTTAAAAACCTCCAGTTGGTGAGAGTCCCTCAATCTCCATAGGTCGCCTGTTCCAGAGCCGAACTCCCCTTAAGTGTTAGAAAGTTTTTCCACATATCTGGTCTAAATCTTCCTTGCTCCAGATCAAGCCAATTACTTCCACTGGGACAAATAATACTGTTGCCTTCCTATAAATCACTTTTCACCTGTAGAGTTCAAAGCACTTCCCAATTTCTAATCTATATATCCTCACAGCACCCCTGAGATGTAGGGAAGTGCTATTATCCCCCGTTTTACAGATGGGGGACTGAGATGCAGAGAAGCTAGGTGGCTAACTTGAGATCAGACAGGAAACCCGTGGCCCAGCAGGAAGGTGAAACTGACTTGCCCATGTCCTAAGCCAGAGCCTTTACCATTGGACCATCCTTGCCCTCAGGTAGCTGAAATCATAGGCACTGACTTTCTAATGTGCCAGGGGATGCTCGCCCCTGCTCCACACCAGGCCCCGCCCCCACTCCACTCCTTACCTCGAGGCCCCACCCCCACCGTACCTGTTCCAGCCCCCTTCCCTGAGCGCATCTTGCCCTCGCTCCTCCCCGTCCCCCCAGTGCCTCCTGCATGCCGGGGAACAGCTGATCCACGGCGGGCTGGAGGTGCCGGGAGGGACGGGGAGGTGCTGATGGGGGGGAGCACCCATCACTTTTTTCCTGTGGGTGCTCCAGCCCTAGAACACCCACAGAGTTGGTGCCTATGGCTCAAAGAGGGGAGGAATGGGGCACTGGGGGGAGATCTGGATTCTGGATTCTCCCTTTGTGACCTTGAGCAAGGTACTTAGGGACCATCCACACTGTCGTTGTAATTCCCAGTTTGGGTAGATGTACACACCCTCGCTTTGATCAAGCTAGTGTGCTCAAAATAACAGCCATGCTGCCGCAGCATGAGCTAGCAGCTGGAGTACAATCCTATCCGAGACCCTAGCTACGTACTCAGGTGGCTAGCCAGTCCTGTCCCCCTCCCCCCATCCCATGGCAGCTACACTAGGAGTGGCGGAAGGTTCCTAAAGAGGGGGGGGCATTGGCGCTTGAACCGTGGCCCCACCCTCATGCTGCCCCTTCTCCCCAAGGCCCCGCCCTCGTGCCGCCCCTTCCCCTCAGTCTCTGCCCCACCTCACCTCTTCCCTCCATGACCCCGCCCCCTGCTCACTCCTCTCTGCCCTCTTCCCCCCCCCTCCGTCATTCACCCTTATGGCCAGTAAAAAGTGATGGGGCCATGGCCCCCTGGTTCCCCTGCATTCCGGTGCCCCTGAGCTACCCCACTGTTTTTAGCATGCTGGCTCCATCAAAGGGAGCACATGTACATCTACCCACGCTGGAAATTGTAGCTCCAGCTTTAATAGAAACGCGTCCTTAAGGCTACATTTTTCAAAGTGCCTAAAGATTGAAGTCAATGGGAGTTAAGTCCCTTATGCAGGTGTGGTGCCTTTGAACATCCCATTGAATGCCTCCCTGCATCTTTACAGGTTTCTGAGGGGTAGCCGTGTTAGTCTGTATCAGCAAAAAGAACGAGGAGTCCTTGTGGCACCTTAGAGACTAACAAATTTATTTGGGCATAAGCTTTCGCGGGCTATAACCCACTTCACCAGTGCCACAAGGACTCCTCATTGTTTTTCCTGCATCTTTAGGCACTGAAACACCTTTGAAAATCTAGCTCCTTGTGCCTCAGTTCCCAATCTGTACAATGGGGATAGGAGCACCCATCCTACACAGTGCATTAAAGATTGCGAGGTCTTTGGATACTAGGCGAAGGGGGGCCTGATAAGTACCCTTAGAATACATTATTGTGCCATGAATGTAGAGACCTTTGTCATGCTTGAAATTGTGTTGACAGCTAGTCACTGGTTGGCATTTTCTGAGCAGAAAATATTTTGTTAATGGTGGGACCTGGGGTGCCTGGGGCAGCCCTCACTGAAAATGCCAAGATCAGGGCAGGCGGCAAAAGGAGAACAGATTCTCCCAAAACTGGTGATTAACAATGAAGTTAGACTCCCCAACCAGTCACAAACTCTGCTCCTGATCCCCCACATTGGTTGTTGAGAAAAAGAACTCACACAGCCCCCTTCATTGCATTCCAGTTCTCTGGCTCCCAATCAGCACCTAGATCCAGTACAGTGAGAAGTTATTTGAAACTCTGCTCACTATAGAAAATGTTCTTCTGAACCCCAAAGGGTCAGTCACATTGCCAGGTCAATATTAGTTTGGATCTTATCCAAAATACCAGGCTGCCAGCCAATCCTTTAGCGTCTAAAACTAAAGGTTTATTATAAGGAAAAAGAAAGAACAAGAGGAGAGTTGTTAAATGGTAAAGCAATCAGATACATACAGAGACTTCAAAGTCCGTATACCAGATTCTTAGCAGTATTGGTGAGTTTGCTGGCTTGAGAGTCCCTCTGGAACACATCCACAGCTTGGATGGGTCATTCAGTCCTTTGTTCAGAGCTTCAGTTTGTAGAAAAGTTACTCCAGAGGTAAGGAGCAGGAATGAAGACAAAATGGAGATGATGCAGCTTCCTTTTATATTCTTTTGCCATGTGACTTGTACTTCCTGTGTCCCAAACACAAGCTTCACAGCACATGCCATGGAAAAGCCATAGAGGTCCCTTCCATAGGCATGCTTCTACATGTCTTGCTGACTCATACAGTGTAGTCCCTGATTTCTTTCAATGGGTTCATTGTACAGCTGATGACCCTGGATAGCCATTGAACAGGCTAGGCAGTGCTGATGCCAATCAGTCTGGGAGTGTCAGCCAGAAACATAGCACAAGTTGGAAATAAAGATATACTTACACATCTATAACTCACAATGAAAAGGTGATACAAACATCTAAAGAAGATTATCATACTTGGCAAAGTATAACATTTTTGCAGATACCTCACACTGCATATCTGGTCAGATTCCTTGCAATTTTATAATATTGGTATCAAGACTATCATATAAAGTGTCCCCCATATTCCATACAGTGTCACAAATGGAAAATCTCATTTCATCAAAACAAACAAAATAGCGTTCCTCTGGGAAACTGGGCATTTCCCCCTGGGAAATCCCCAAGCGGGGGAAAGCTAGTGGGAATCTACTTTCCAACTTGAATTCCAGCTGGAAAAAGTTGGGAAACAGTCAGAAAACGTGAGAAAATAGGATTCTCTTACTCTCCCTCTCTTTTTCTAATAGTCCCATGGGAAAACTGGAATTTCCCACTGGGAAAACTTCCCATAGGACATATGCCCCTGAAAATTCCTCTGAGAACTCAATACAGGCAGGGGTAGTTGTGTGGAATTCTATGGCCTATATAAAGCAGGACATCAAACTAGATGATCAAATGGTCCCTTCTAGCCTTAAAATCTAGTAAACAAATTCCCTTTTTCCAACCAGGACTAATAACTTCACCGCTAGCTAGGCTTGGCTAATGGATGTGGCCCTTTAGCCCAAGCAGAAGGTGCTTATGCTTTTGGATAGAGGTCAGGGGGTTCAGTCCTCACAGATGGTCAAATTCCCTACAAAGTGTTCAAAATTCCAATCTCCGTGTCCGCATGTACCATTGCTGCTCAGAAAACCTGCCGGAATCGAACTTGAGACTTCTGGAGCTAAAAGCATGAATTGGTACAGCCTGATCTAAAGGAGAAAAGAAGGCTGCATTTGATAGTCAAGTTTTATTTATAAAAGTTTTAATAAACAATTAATAGCTGTTAGAAGCATGTTACAGACGTGATTAGTATGTGCTCTAGGTGCATCAGTTGAAGGTTATAAGCATGTCCGTAGGAGTCAGTATCGATGGTTATAAGCAATCTATTGATCTGTCGACCTGTCTAAATGGGGAGGAGGAGGTCGCATACTTCTTTGCTTCTGTAGGCTGAATTTATTGCACATACCAGAGACCTCTTGCATCCCTCCAGTCCACCCTCCTTTCCCCTCTATTTCAGCGACTCCCTGTAACTTTCCCCCCCTTTCCTGGTTAGTTTTCGTTCTGTCCGGGAGATGAGTCATTCAGGGTAGCAACATGTTAAACTCTGTTGGGAGGAGGAGCAGGGATGTTGTTATGCTGGAAGGTGTTAGGGGGTGCAATAAACCTTTGTTTGATCTACAGACATTTACAGAGGTGCTTGAAGCTGTGGCTAGGCGAATCATATGGAAGGGGCTCCCCGTGCCCTCTATTTTTCCCCTTCTAGTTTTCTGATTTTGTTCCCCCAGAATCAATCGGATTGTGACCACTGACATCTAGAACGTTCCCATATATGTTGGAATTGATCAGGTGCGGTGTTCCGACATTACCACGTTACGAAAGATAAATGGAGAAATGTAGTAGAGTGTCAGGCTTTTGAACTCCCAGCCAACAATTGAGTGACCATTTCTTGAAATGCTCTGTTAATCCTTTATTAATCTGTAATAAATGTCACCGTAATAAAAAGTGTGAGCCGGCAATCTCCATTTCCTCCAAGGCTATAGTGGACTCAAAACTTCTATATCCTGCCTAGCCAATAGAGGTGGACAGAGAGCCACTCTTTGTGAGTGAGTGAGGGGTACAATTGCGTGAGAGCCAGTCTCAATTTCTAAGAATATTTCTTACTGTAACCCTTCTGCCAAGTGGAGTCAGCAGCAACCACGACTGGGTTCTATACCTGGGGGTTCCTTTCCATCGATCCAACACACAACTGGCTCGAGCTCCCACCCACAATAACCTGGGACAATTGCACACCACCTCTCGCTACCTCCAAGAAGCAACACTTCCCTTCTCGCAAGCACAGAGTCTGAGCGTAGGAAAGACATTTTTCATAAAAGGAGGGAAGTCACCTGGCATTAATTAGGGAAAACGCCGCAATCAGGATTCATAAACATAAAACCGTGGGCAAAACACCCACCCCAGAGCACGTTGAGCAGTGTCCTTTTGCCTCAAGTTCTTAAGTGCATCAACCAAAAGTTCATTTAATGTGCCGCTCCCATCTCCTTCCACCACACCCCACTCACGGTTGTTGTCCTTAGTCAGTGACGATCCAAAGTTCAGAGGTTATCTTCAGGAGCTCACCTGCCAACAGGGGTGGGGGGGCACCTTGCTTTGAAATCTGATCTTTTGTGTGCTTACGCTATACTATACAGATTTCATGGAGGAGACCAGTGTTTCTCAAACTGGTCCTGATTCAAAAGGGAGTTGCAGGGGGGTCACAAGGTTATTTTAAGGGGATCACAGTATTGCCACCCTTACTTATGCGCTGCCTTCAGAGCTGGGCAGCCAGAGAGCAGTGGCTGTTGACCAGGCACCCAGCTCTGAAGGCAGCACCCTGCCAGCACCAGTGCAGAAGTAAGGGTGGCAATACCGTACCATGCCATCCTTATTTCTGTGCTGTTGCTGGTGACAGCTCTACCTTCAGAGCAGGATTCCCAGCCAGCAGCTGCCATTCTCTAGCTGCCCAGCACTGAAGGCAGTGCCCCGCCAGCAGCAGCGCAACCCCCCCTTACAATAACCTTGCAACCACCCCACAACTCCTTTTTGGGTCAGGACCCCTACAATTATACCACCATGAAATTTCATATTTAAATAGCTGAAATCATGAAATGTACTATTTTTAAAATCCTATGGCCATGAAATTGACTAAAATGGACCACAAATTTGGTAGGGCTCTCGTTATCAGTGGTTTCATCTCTGTTGGTGTGTAACAAGACTCCCAGTTAAATCTTAATCAGTTTTGTTATTACATAGTGGAAAAATAAAGAAGAGAATGGGACCAGTATTTGCCCTTTCAATTCTAATGGTGTTGGGTTTGGCACCCATGTCCCCTGCCGAGTGAGTGCTGTTTAGTTGAGGGTGAGTCCCTCAATCAGGGTATGCCAAGCATAGTTCTGCTGCCCTTGAGTCACACAACAAGGATAACAACCCTTTAGTGCCCCTGCCTCCAGTAACAAAGTGACTTGTGATCCAACACCAGCCAAAAGTGATCATTCAAGCAAAGCAGTCCCATCATGCCAAGCACCTAGGCTGGGTGGGTGTGCCCATGCAAACAAGGTCAGCTCGTGAAATCCTCTTCCCCAGCTCAGCACTAGATGTCAAGAGAGAGCTCATTCAGACCCTGCTCAGGTTACCAATAATTATTCCCAAATGGATGGATTTTCAAAATTGCTCAGCACCCAACTTCTTCCATTTAGGCACCTAATAGGAAGTATGAAGTTATTCAAAAGTTCCCAGCAGCCAACAAAGAAAGGACTTTTTTGTTGTTGTTGAACTTTCTGTATTGTTTGGTGGAAGGGACTTGACAAATGAAATTCTTGTTTGTCTCCAAGTTTCCTCTGTGGTGTGTAAGATATTCTATTCATTTGGGTTCTTATACTGACCTATCACCATGGTCTCCTGGCCTGAGAATCTCCTCATTTCTCAATCTATGGGAAGCCAAGTGTCCCATGTCATAAAATCATCAGTGTAAGATTTTAGACCACTCCATCGTATCAGAATAAGACACCAGATAAAGGAATTTGGTTTTTTGGTTCATCGATGACTCTGCTTGCCTTGGTTGCCAGCCATTAAAAGGTTGTTGGGTCTTCCATTGTCTCTCCAGCTCCCTAAAAGTGTGGGTGCCACCAGCGCCCAAACCATGTCCCTGCCCTCCCATGCCGCCCCTTCCCCAGATGCCTCGCCACCTGCATGCTTCTCTCCACCCCCTCTCTCCAATCGCTCACCCTTACGGCCCCATAAAAAGTGGGACCCGCCCACTTTTAAAAGTGATGGGACCAGGCCCCTCCCCGCGCTCATTCCAGGGCCCCTGCTGAGCGGTTTTCAAACTTTTTGAGCTGAGACCCCCCCCCTTTGAGTTACAGTTTTTGGTTGTGCCCCCACCCCCAATCCCTGACAGGCTGGGTGGCCTGCTGAGGTGAGCCGGGGGTGGAGGTGGCGCTCCCTCCCCAGGCTCTGCCGCACGGAGCTGGCCCAAGCCCCGCTGGTCCCTCCCCCGCCGCCATATAGAAGTCAAACTACACCTATGAAAAAAACTAAAGTTTTCCAGTGCCTATGTATCCCCTGTCTATGGCCACATGCATACAAGTACCATAGTCACTGAGGGGGGTTGAACCAAGGACCTTCAGCACTGAAAATACAGCTCCTGCTACTGTTGGTAAGTAGCAGGCTAAGTTGCAGAAGGTATTTAGATGCCTAAAGATGCAGCTAGGAGTCTAATGGGCTTTTCCAAAGTGTCCAGGTGCCTAACACCA